TGATGAATTCAAGTATTCATCACATCAACACAAAACAGTAACGGAGAAGAACTTGAGCAGTTTGTCATTCCTGCAAATAAACTACATTAAATTGAAGGGGAGGAGTATTTCACCTATATTCCAGATCAAATTACAAGCAGTAGGGAACTTGAAATATCTCCGCTGGCAGCCCGAGGCTCTCGGATCTCTCTTTTTTTCTCTACCGTCGGCTTTTGTCTTTTTCAGACCTCCCCAAAAAAATCCCAGCGAAAAAAGATCCCTATTAATTTAGAGGAAGAAGAGATCACCTAAACCTAGTCTTCTCTCCATCACAGCCCACCAATTTCCTCTTCTTTCTTCGCAGCCCTTGATCACTAAATGCCAAACGATCTTCTGCATTTTTTTCTTTCTTTTGGATGTGTGAGACAAGTAATGGAAACGGAGAGATGAGGATGAACGGAGAGGCGCTGGACGGGGTGAGAAGAGGAAGGGGACAGAACCGGATCAGAGAGAAGGCAATCGATTGAGCCGGTTTTCAAGGCCCGGATTTAAAACGACGCCGTTTGAAATTGAAAGTCTTCTCCCGTCCTTGACTTTGGCCTGCTTGACATTTAAATCCCATGCTTTGTTCTGTTTCTCTCTAGTCTCTGCACAATGAAACATGCATTTTAAATGTTTGCAATTAAGTAGAAATGCGAATAATTCAATTTAATCTCGCTTCTCTTTGTCAAATTTTTTGCGTTAATTTCCTACGTCACATTAAAGCTCAAATATTTTAAAATTTTCATTTAAAACATAAGAATTTATGAGAAATTAATATTTTAAAAAAATCAAAATTGTTTGGCACAATATCAAAGTTAAAAAAATTGCGTATGACACTATTAATTATATATTCTCATTCCATGCTTCAAAACATATGGTATACATAACAAAATTGATAAAGTTAAAGAAAGTGAAAAATGCATCCTAATTGATTTTCTAAAAACAAAAAGATTAAACCCTCATTTGGGTCCCTCAACTATTGTACGGGCTCTCGATTTAGTCCCTCAACTCAAAAAATCCCTGATTTGGTCCCTATTATTTACCATTTTGACTCTGATTTGGTCATTTCGTTAAATTTTTGCTGATGTGGCCTATTAATTGACAGAATGAAAGTGACATATCCAAATATTTAATACATAAACTGACAACAAGAATAAATAAATGATGTGGCTAAAAACTCAGCCACCTAATTAAACAAATATAATTATTTAATCCAGTAAATTTACAATTTTGCCCTCATCTTCTTCCTTAGGATCCTCCCTCTCAAATCTTCTTCATTCACTCTAAATCAAACATTCAATTCAATGAGATCAATTAATTCATCATCATCATCAAACAAAATTGCCTTGTTCGAGGCTTGCTGGGTTTGATCTTACCAAAAAAAAAAAAAAAAAAA